TACCAAGAGTTGTTTTGAGGAAGAGCCATAGGGTAGTGGTTCTGTGGTATATCTGTAATTATGCCCTGATTTAAATGGTGGATATGGTGTTGGTCCAGATGTGGTCAATTAGGGAAACACTGGTCTCTGTTAATCCAGTTAGGTTTTGTTATGTTGGTGGTCAGCAACATGAGTTGCTCATTGTGTTTGTGAAAGTCGTAAAACGTGTGGGTCCCTGGTCTTGCAGGAGATTTATATGAAGTCACCTGAGGTGTAGTAAGTGATCTTTGTTCATGCGTGCGATCAGTTCTTCGCATACTCCTAGGTTTTGGCCTCTAATTGGCTAATGTTTGATTGTGGAATTCTTGTAGATGGTTATCACTGTGAGGAGGGTTGTTTGTGTATGGTATTAGGTATTTGGAGTTTTAGTATGTTATATTCCCCGTTGTTCATCCGTTTGTCGCAAGTATTTAGTGATTATCATTCTAGTTGCGTATGTAGTAGTATTTATCTGTGCCTCCCTTGTTGGTCTGGCCTACGTTGTGTATGGGGGTTTTTGGTGTGGTGTGGTAACCAGGAATGGCAATTAGACATCTGGTAGTATTCAGGCTTGCTTTAGCATGGTTTCAGTTAGTTGTAAGTAATGGTTGATGTTTTGGCATGCAAAGAAGAATTTAGTAATGTAGGAGGTCATCATAATGCTTCTTAAAGAGATCTGATATTTGTAGTTAAAGATAGTTATGTTGTTGTTTTGGCTCTGAGAAGTGCTTTGATTGTTCTGCTGCTTGTAGTAATTACAGTAAATGTGGTTGAATTATTTTAAAGTCATTATGTTAAGAGGTTGGTATCAGGATCGCAATTGCTTTATCATAAGATTTGTTGTGAATCGTATATTGTTTAAGAATTATGTAGTTAAAAATTAAAAGTAAATAGTCTTGAAAGACTAAAAAAAAAATAGCACCTGAATTATTTAATAATTTGAAAAAATGTAGAGTCGTTATGGTAGTTTTTTAAAGCTGAAATATAAACGACGAGATCAATATTAAATGTGGGACTAACATCTTAATTTGTGTGTGTGATCAAACTGACAGTGAATGCGAATCGAGATGATGGAGCTTGGGGATATGATAGTTAGGCAGTACTTATTAAAGGTAATTCTGTGAAGTTGCAATTATTATAATTTAAAATGTATGCTATATAAAGGGAGCTAATAAAGTTGTGTAATGTTGAAACATATAAATGTGTGTAATCATAATAAATGAGTGTTTTGGTTTTAGTATAATGGCTGTAAATAGTGGAACTTATTAACTTTCAGCACCTGGAGTATCAGCACCTGATTAGCTTTAACAATTGCGAATTCTTTTGATCTAAGGTAGTTATTATAGAGATTAAATAAAGGACAATAAATATGCGCTAAAGGTGACTACAATTGAGAATGGTAAATAAAGTTAGTTAAAATGGATAGTCACTATGTGAAAATATTGTTTTGGAGTAAGATCTGTATTTGTAATATTAAAATAAGTTGAAAGTTTATTGCACATAAAATATGTAAAAAAAAAAAAGAGGTAGTTGTGGTACTAGCTAGCTGAAAGATTTAGTATTGGTATTGCAAAAAGTAATTGGAATAGTACACTAATTACACACATAATAAAAAAGTGACTGTGAAAAAAGAACAAGTATGTGGTAAACAAGAATAAATTCATGGAGAGAGGTATAACGAACAATGAATGAATGGTGAATGTCTTGGTTATATATGTTTAGTAAGCATCGGTAGAACAGGTACAAAGGGATGAATATAAAGGTTGGAGTTGAATATGCAACTTGAAAATTTTGGCATAGACAAAATGTTGATGGGCAAGTAAAAATTAAGTGTTTAACTGCTACACAAAAGTAAATTGATGGTGAGTAAATATTGGTTGTTTAATAAATATTTTAGTTAAGTAGTAATGATTACAAGAGAAAAGAAGTGTAAAAAGTGATATTTTGATTTCATTCAGTATTGCATGGGTAGTTATACTAGAGGTTATAGGCAGTACAGGTAATTAAGAGTACTCTAGATAGTAAATGGGGTATAAAACAGGTAAAGGTTAATTAGACCAAATATTGGTTTTAAATGTCAAAAATGTTAAGAGTAAATTGAAATTATAGTATAATGATAATTATTATTTTAGTAGGTAATATCAATTGATAGTATTTAAAAAAAATATGTGGTATGGTTAGTAATATCGTGACAGAGAAAGTATCAATTTAGCTAAATGTTTAAGCAAACAATAGTTATATAAGAATATTACATAAGTGGTGACTTATGTCATACTAGTAAAATCACAAAAAGAGGTTGTTGATTATTTAAATATAGTGATTGTACAATGAAATTTGAACAATAATGGGGCAAAAACATACACTACACTACGTAGGTTTTAAGTTGGACATTGTTTAGTTATTCTCTGTAAGATTAGTATCTGCCTGAGATAATAGTGATCGCCTGTATAGATCATTCTCGTTCGTTGATTGTGACAGGTTGTACCTACATTTGTTTTTCATAACAAGAAAATTTTCCATCCGTGTGAATAGCATTGGTGGTTATTGTGTCGTTATTCTCCCCGCTTAGTTTTTTACTCTATACAGGATGTGGTTCTGACGTTTTTTGTGAAGAAGTCGTTTAAGTATACCTCTTTCTGTCACTTTATAGATGCAATAATTAAGTCTTTTTTTCCTTGTCATGTGAGTGGATGTCTACCCTTCTTTAGCTCTAACTTATTTAAAACCCCCGGCCCTAACCCCTTTATTCCTCTCCCCTGAAACTCTCCCACCCCTTCAGCTTTGTTTCACTTAAAGCCAGGACATCCAGCTTTTTCTCATTCATAACATCCACAATCATCTCTTTCTTATCATCTGCACAACATCCACGCACATTCAGACTTCCCACTTTGACAATTTTCTTCTTCTTATTCTTTTTAGTAATCTTTACAGGAAAAGGGGTTACTAGCCCATTGTTCCCGGCATTTTAGTTGACTTTTACAACACGCATGGCTTACGGAGGAAAGATTCTTATTCCACTTCCCCATGGATATAAAAGGAAAATTAATAAGACCAAGAACTATTAAGATAAAATCAAAGAAAACTCAGATGAGTGTGTATAAATAAATGTGTACATGTATGTGTAGTGTGACCTAAGTGTAAGTACAAGCATATATATACACCCCTCTGGGTTTTCTTCTATTTTTTTCTAGTTCTTGTTCTTGTTTATTTCCTCTTACCTCAATGGGGATGTGGAACAGAATTCTTCCTCCGTAAGCCATGCGTGTTGTAAGAGGCGACTAAAATGCCAGGAGCAAGGGGCTAGTAACCCCTTCTTCTGTATAAATTACTAAATTTAGAAAGAGATACTTTTGTTTTTCTTATGGGGCCACCCTGCCTCGGTGGGATATGGCCGGTGCATTAAAAGAAAGAAATGTAGTACAAGAATATATACAATATAATTTTCAGCTGGGAGATTGAGTCAGCAACTGGCCCTCTGTTTTAGCTCTATTTTCTCACCAAAGAAGGAAAATACCCATCATTGAGCAACAGTGCAAGGAGTAATCTTGACCTCCAAGTGAGAGAAAAACAGTGAGTATACAGATCTCTAAGCATGATAGTCAAGCTGGTTTTCTCAACCACATTCTCTTTCTCTAGTATGGAAGACCTCAACCATTACAGTCCATGGCATCACCAAAGCTGGCAATATTCCATGAACAAAAACTGACTTATCATATTCTGTATGAGATGGAAGGTCAACCATCTCAAGGACTGTAAGAAAGAGCACATGGTGGTTTACAAAATGTTGATTTCAAAATAAAATGTCATTCAAAAGCATTTATGTTATATAATTTTCAGTACAGTTATATACAGCCTCTCCTCACTTAACTACGGAATTCCGTTCCTAAGACCATGTCGGTAAACGAATTCGTCACTAAGTAAGGAGCATACTATAATGGTAGTGGGTTTGATATTGATTTAATGTCATCTCTGCACCATTTATAACATTTCTGGTATATTTTTAAATGTTTATATGGCAGTGTACTGTATTCTTTCAACAAATCGGCCATTTCCCACCAAGGCAGGGCGGTCCAGAGAGAAAAACAAAAGTTTTTCTTAAATTTAGTAGTTTATACAGAAGAGGTTACTAGCCCTTGCTCCCAGCATTTTAGTTGCCTCTTACAACACGCATGGCTTATGGAGGAAGAATTCTGTTCCACTTCCCCATGGAGATAAGAGGAAATAAACAAGAACAAAAACTAGAAAGAAAATAGAAGAAAACCCAGAGAGGTGTGTATATATATGCTTGTACATGTATGTGTAGTGTGACCTAAGTGTAAGAAGAAGTAGCAAGACATACCTGAAATCTTGCATGTTTATGAGACAGGAAAAAGACACCAGCAATCCTACCATCACGTAAAACAAATACAGGCTTTTGTTTTACACTCGCTTGGCAGGATGGTAGTACCTCCCTGGGTGGTTGCTGTCTACCAACCTACTACCTCAGTGTACTGTATATTGTAATAAAAAGAATTGAGGAAATTAGCTCTAATATACATTATTTAGTTATACATACTGGCCAGAGAGCCCGTCGCAAGTCTGAGTCGTCGGTAAACGTGTATGTCGCTAAGTGAGGAGATACTGTATTCATGAACCATACAACATTCCAGCACTGTAATTTGCAATGCTGTAATTTGTGCTCTGAACCAGAGCACAAATTACAGCAGTTCAGTGGTAAGAGTCTTTCCAACCTCTTGAATCAATGCAACACTTTTCCTTTACCTATAGTTATCTTACGATTGCAGATTACCATAATCACCTGCATTCTTTTAAATAAGCAAGTGTTCTGACATGATCATCCATGGACATATTAAAAGAAACACTGCAGAACAATTTGCTTAACTTCTCACATCTCACAACATAATTTAAAATTTATGGCACAAGTGATATAAATTTAAAGTGAAGCTGATGCAATTTCCACATAATAATAAAAACGTTATACAAAAAAGCAAATAAGCTTTTATTATTTATCATGGGAAATGTAATACAACTAGACTTCTTATAAATAATTAATTGTTGTCTTGAAAAGAAAATACAGTAATTACAATTTTTTAACAAAGACTGGAACTCTATATTATGAGGAAATTCACAATTTCAAACAATTTCCTTTAACCATCTATCCTGTAACAACAAAGGAAGATGTGGCTTTGTTTCTTCTGAACATAGGATTTTCTCTTTCAAGGTAAGAAAATCCTCCATCTGTCCTTGAGGTGGTTGTCTGCTGCCTTTCAATTACTTTATCAAAAAAACGAGATAGTCTGACTGCATTGCTGGAACCTGGTGCTAGAGAACGTTGATCTAGTGTGTTCTGCAACAAAAAAGTAACATCAGATGTATTTTGGTCCCTGAAAGGTATCCCTGCATTTCATAAGCCCAGCCTCCTCTAACATAATACATGCACTAATTCACTCACAAGCAGTACACAAATCAATGCATTCATAGAAACAAGTGGTTTAAAGCAAAGAATATAACTATTGCAACAGGCAAAGATTTGAACCCGAGTCATTCTGGGAGTCTCCAAAGAAACTAGACAACTTGGGTTCAAATCTCAGCCAGTCAGTATATTCTTTGCTTTAAATCACTTGCTGTGGATGAATTGATTTGTGTACTGCTAGTGAGATAAAGTCAGTTGATCAAATGAAAATGCTGGCCCACAGATGGCTCCAGCTTCATCCTGTTCCCTACTTGTATGTCTCATAACAATAAAAATGCTTTCAAATGAGCTGATGTAGGTAACAGCTCTTAGCTTGCCGAGAGGAGAATGATATTAGTCTCTAAGCTTACCATTCCTTGAATACGCCTGATGTCAAGGGAAACATGTAGTGGTTTCACTGGACACCTAACATCTTCAGCATGGTGTAGTAGTTGTCTAGGGGTTGACAGCTCAGCTGGCTTACCAGGAAGCTGCCTAGATAACTGGGATTCAAATCTCTTTGCTTTAGACCACTTGTTTCCATGGATTTATTGAGTCATGTACTGCTCATGAGACTAGTATCCGAATGGCCAATGGCAAAGGTTGGTGTATGAATTTGGGAGGGTATGTAAAAGGAAATTAAAAGTGAACATAGGAAAGAGCAAGGTGATGAGGGTAACAAATAATTTAGGTAATGGAAGACTGGATTTCAAATTGGAGGGAGTATGGAGGAAGTGAATGTGTTCAGATATTTGGGAGTGGATTTGTCTGCAGATGGGTATATGAAAGACAAGGTGAGCCATAAAATTGATGAAGGGGAAAAAGGTGGGTGATGCATTGCGGCATCTGTGGAAACGAAAAACATTATCCATGGAGGCAAAAACAGGAATACTATATGAGAATATAGTGTTCCTTTTATACCAAGAATCATATATGGGTGTGAAACATGGTTTATGAATGTTGCAGCAAGGAGGAAGCTGGAGACAGCAGAGATATCGTGTCTGAGGGCAATTTTTTTTTTTTTAAAATGTCAGCCGTTTCCCACTGACGCAGGGTGACCCAAAAAGAAAGAAAAATTTTCATCATCATTCAACACTTTCATCATCACTCATACATAATCACTGTCTTTGCAGAGGCGCTTAGATACGACAGCTTAGACTGACAAAACCCAAACCCCTCCTTAAAAGTGCAGGCATTATACTTCCCATTTCCAGGACTCAAGTCCGGCTAACTGGTTTCCCTGAATCCCTTCACAAAATATTACCCTGCTCACACTCCAACAGCAACGTATGGTGTGAATATTATGCAGAGAATTCATAGTCTGGAGATTAGAAGGTGCAAGGTTACTAAAAGTATTATCTAGAGGGCTGAGGAGGGGTTGTTGAGGTGGTTTGGACATTTAAAAAGGATGGAGAAAAATAGAATGACTTGGAGGGTGTATAAATCTGTATTGGAGGAAAGGGAAGGTAGGGGTTGCCCTAGGAATGATTGGAGGGAGGAGGCAAAGAAGGTTTTTGTGTGTGAGGAGCTTGAACATAAAGCAGGCATGTGTGATAGGTGTGAGTGGAGGCAGGTTCTTTCTATGACTTGATGAGGTGATGAAATGAGAGCAAGGTAACACTTATGAAGGGATTTAGATCAGCTAGATAGTTAAACTTGATTTTTGGAGGTGGAGAGTACCGTGCCTGTACTCTTGAAGGATGGGGTGTGGAGGGACATCTGGACTGTATTATCAGCACATCTCAGGCAAGACAGTGGAGTGAATGATAGTGAAAATGCTTCTTTTTTGGGTCACCCAACTGCAGTGGGAGCCTACAGAGTTACTACTTGAATTCAGATCTCAACCTTCCGAAATGAAATTTGAGCAAAACAAATGAAGAACACATTGGATGATCATACAACAGAAAGCATTGCATGCATATACATAAGGAAGTTGCAACTAAAAGAATGGCAGCTTAAATATATGAGAAACCTGGAATTGCCAAGGCATAATAAACTTACAACAGTAATCTCATCAGCAGCACATTCATCAGCAATAGAGGAGCTACGCACTCTCCCAGATGTGCGAAACTCAGCAACCTGCTCTTGTTTGGTTCCAACAACAAATACTGGCAGCTATTAAACAAAAATATCTGTTAGCAAGAAATTTAATTTTCTAAATTATAATATAAGATTAATACAATTATGTAAGTAAAGGCTATAATTCTTTAAAAAAAAAAATGTGTTTCTTGAGCTAATATTAGTTTCAAAATTATGTTGGAACAATATACTGGTTGTACTTATATCAATTATGCCACTTTGCAATATATGTACAGCAGCAGGGTGGTTCCTATCATCTCACCTCCACACAGCATAGATAACACAGTGCTGTAGGTGCATTTAATCAAATCCCCCCACCCACATTCTCACTCTATGAAAAAGACACAAATTACAAACTTTAGATCCCAGCACCTTGGTCACCCCAGATGTATATAGGAGTAGGAAGACATGAACCTGTAAAGTCACAAAAGCACCCGAGTGGCAGGGCTTTCCTGATTACATAACCTCATGTCTGGCCTACCCATACATACATTTGGAGTAACTAAGGTCCCAGGACAGAAACATCTCTATCACAACGTCTTAGTGTTTGCATTTTGTCTTTTTCCAACAACCTATCAGTATCACATACTATTTTTACCACTATCTTAGCTCATCTTTATTCATATTTCTCACACGAAGTCATATCTGGTTCCTATTGCACTCTTGAGCTGTCAATATTTACCTAATCACACTAAAACATCTATCAAACAACAGGTTTTCATTGTGTTGCCTCAAGTCAACCTTGGCATAGCTTATATTACAAAAATAATAATTTTCAATTCAGTACATCATACCTTTGTAATGCAAAATTTTATTATCTTAATAAAGAAGTCTGCACTTGATGACCTTCTTATCATGTTTCATACAATGCTAATGCTTCTTTTACTCTCTGCAAGCATAATTTTACATTTTATTAAACTTTTAATCCATACTGAAAATTTACTTATTAAAATATTCAAAATTTAAGAAGCTCTTGATTACAATGAGTAATTAGGGTAAAACCTTAAAAAATGTAATTCTACTTTAAAGTAATGGAAAACAAATGTTACCAACATAGATTTGCAAAACAAGGTAACATACTATACAATTACATAGGAGAGGTCAACAAAAATACATTCTAAATACTGTACTGCTTTATTACATGGATATACTTTGCTGTTCAAGCTGATTCACCAAATAAGCATCATTGGTGCAATAAAAATAAACACCAAAGCAATACTAACAAAATTAATACTATACAGTATTCAAAATAACAACATAAATACAACTATATAGCTAAAGTAGAAAACTGTGCTGGCTAAACCTGGACTGTATTTATCCCTGTGGGCATATAACAGGCTGAAATTAGAGTAATAGATATGTGATGCTTAAGTAATAGGTTCCCACATGAGGAATTTTGTAATTATATATTGGCATTTTGTGATTATCTGGTTGCAGATGCAAGAGCAGAATTATGCTGGTGGTGTCCCATCTTCAGTGATTATTTTTTCATATATTGTTTTTAAGGTTCCTGGATCCCATTCCAGCAGTCTGCTGCTGTACTTCTCTGCCTGCCTGTCTGCATGCCTCCTCACTCTCCCTCCCTGCTTTGCCTCACTGGTTCTGCTTGTTCCAGTTGCCCTCCATCCTTTGAATGCCGGTATCTTTATAAACAGACAGCATATTTATGAGCAGAAAGATAGGGGGTGGATTTCATTAGGACGTAAATACACTTTGGTGCTCCTCTAATGTAATGTGTGAGAGTAAGACTGTGTGAGAGTAAGACTTGCCTAACATGAACAAGTAGGTCTACTGCAATGTTCCTTTAGTTCTATGGTAATCATTTGTTAGTTTTCATTACTTCCCCCTTCCTCAAGTTTTGAATACAATAGTACTGTAGTACTACAGGCTACAGTACCTGTATTCTTCATGTCCAGCTGTCTTCTAAATCAGTGGACCAAGTCTACTACTTCAGAAGACAACTGGACAATTATGAAACATAATTTCATAATTTAGGAGCTGTGGACAACTGGCAATGTAGTACACCTCCCTCCCCCCTATTAGTCCATTCATGAGAGGTTTACTTTATTGTATATTTATATACAGTATAGAGCGGACAAAAGTTTTTTATTCTTTACAAAAATCAATTTTAAAGGCTAAAAACTGTTATCCTACCTCAGTTCATTTCAAAGCCCAACCCTATCTAAGGATGCCCTACCAAGTTAAAACCCCCCCCAACAAATTTTTACCCGAAACCCACAGCAGTTTTGTTTTGAATAACACCCAAGTACCTACTTACTGCTAGGTGAATAGGGGCAGCAGTGAGTGGGAAAAATCTGTCAAGACTTAAAAAGCAGGAATGTGTGAGCAAGACTGGAGTGGAAGGAAATGGTTTATAGCCCTATCACTGCTGGTGCCGTATAGATACATCTTATTTATTTATTTATTTATTTAGAAATTTTAGCATACAAACAGAGGTACAAAAAATACAGGTAAGAGCAGCCATGCCCAAAGCCACTTATATGCATAGCATTACGGGCTGGCTTAAAAATAACTTAAGATTAACTAAGCAATGATGAAATCAGTGATAAGACATTATTGTAAACAGATAACTATAAAATATAAATGAGTATTACAAAGACAGGTCCTATGGTTGCATGCATTGCTGTTCATTCAGTAGAATGAGTATTCTGGTAGTAGTGTATTTAAAAAAAATAACTAAGTTAGGTTTAACATTGTGGATATAAGTGTGAGTATCAATTAGGATATACAATTATATGGTTCAGTTATTCATATTATTTGGTTTGAGTGAGTATGTGAACTTGAGAAGAGACTTGAATTTATAAACAGTTAGTGTTCTTTATATTACAGGTAATGAATTCCCAATTTTAGGGCCTTTATGGCCTTGAGGTTTGCATAGCATGAGTGGACATAGGAACAGCAAAGAGTGATCTGTTGCCTTGTATTATGGTATGTGTCTGTTTGAGGTTGGCCAAGGAGATGTTTTTAGGAGTTAATTATCAGAGTAATGTTCTATGTATGTATAAGTGCAATAACAAAGTATGGATGTTTGTATGGATCAGTTGAGTGTTTTGAATAATTGGTGGAGTGTGCTGCCGTATGAGAATTGTTATCATTTCTAAACTGCAGCCTTTTTTGGTAATTAGTGTCTGAGATTTATTGTTGTGAGCCCCCATGCACAAATTCCATAGGTGAATTAGGGTAAATAGAGAGTGATAAAGGGCCAGATGCTGACTGTGGAACATAGTAACCGTATCTTCGATAGTAATGCCTACAGTCTTGGAAATTTTCTTAGAAATTTGTTGTATATAGTATGAAATTTGAGTCTATTATCATGGTGATTCCCTAAGAATTTTTCCCTCTGTTAGCTTTGTGATAGGTGATCCGTTATCGTTAGTAAAGGTACAACCCCCCCCCCCTGTAGCTCTGCTACCAAACTGAATGAATAGGTTGTGTCAATGTTTAGTGTAAGTTTGTTATCCTCACCAGAAGATATTTCTGTAATTCGGTGTTTACAGTATTGGCTAGCGTGACTGGCTCGGTGAAGAGAAGACGTATGGTGGTGTCACTGCAAAAATGTGGTTTAGTATTTGCGAAGCATTTGGTAGGTCATTTATGTATAGGGAAAAGAGAAGAGGGTCCGAAGGACACTTCCCTGTGGGTCACCAACTGTATATTGGTTGTGCGAAGAGCTTGCCCCATTTGCTCACATTATTGCTTCTGTTGCTGAGGTAAGACTTGAAGGTCATTTTTTTTTGAGGAGTGCCCTCTAATACCATAGTGTACAATTTTTACGGGAGCAAGTCATGTCCATCTGTATCAAAACTTTACGTAAGGCAATGACGATCCCCAGGGAACTTCCTTTGTCTCTTTTGCAGTGTATATATTTTCTAGCATGTGTATAATAGGCATCATTAGTATTTTTATTCGGCCCTGAATCTAAATGGCAGGTGTAATGTTTATGGGAGGATGAGGTATGAGTGGATTCGTTTATGAATTAATTTTTTCGAAGATTTTGAGAGAGGTGTAAATGATATTGGCCTATAGTTTTCTCAACTCTGTTTGTCTCCTCCTTTTATGGATCGGGGTGACGCCTTGCAATTTTGAGAACTGTAGGGAAGGTGGAGGATTCAATGGATTTGTTAAAGAGTGTTGCAATGATTGGTGATAGATACTTGTGCTGCTTTTTTTGTATAGAAAGGGTGGTAAGGTATTTAATCTCCTGCCTTGTTTTTTCAGTGCGTTGGAAAATAAGAGACTTCGTATGGGTTAGTCGAGCAGAACAGTGTGTTTCGGGTAGTTTGCCAGTGAGGATATTCATTTGTGGTATCTGAGCTTGGGATATTATTGGCAAGGTTTGACCTATTTACCTGAGTTTACCTGGAGAGAGTTCGGGGGTCCAACCGCCCCCTGCGGCCCGGTCCTGTGACCAGGCCTTCTGGTGGATCAGAGCCTGGAATCAACCAGGCTGTTGCTGCTGGCCTATAGTGGGAGAAGAAATCATTGAGTCTGGTTGCTGTTTCTGTTGGTGGGAGTTGGGGTCATCTGATTTTGCTAATTTTATTCGCTATGTCTGATATCTTTTTTTGTTCCCAGAATTCTATAGGTCTCCAGGTCTTTTTTTAATCACCCATAATTGATAATCTTGTTCTCATAATACAATTTTTTTGCCCTTCTTATCAGCTGGTTAGGACGACAAGTAACGTTTTTTTGTCTCTGTTATGTTACCCATTCTGGTACGTTTTTTCATAACGGTGGTTTTTGTATTTATGGATTTGAGAATGCTGGGTGTTAGCCATGGACTGTTTCAGTCCCTCTTAGCTGTCTCTGGTTAGTTTTTTTAGGGCAGTGCTTGTTATATAGTGATTGGGTCCTTTTTTAGAAAATTAATTAATACATCGTCCAATATCTGTATAGATTCTAGCTCAGTGGGCCAGGCAATGGTTTGTTACTGCTGTTGTGAAGTTATAATTGCTGTCCCCCCCTCCCCCCCCCCCCCCCCCCCCCCCCCTCCACCCCTCATTGGAAGTCTGAGG